AGTACTTTATTTTCTCTTTTTTGCGTGACTAGAGTTGCACCGGTACCGTGGCGTGATCCCTAGAGACCAGTTAGTCTAACATCTATCGAGTCACTTACCAATCTCATTAGGAGGAACATAGGGGGAGGCCGGCGAGGTCACCCACCCCCTCACAACGGACGAGTAAACCGGTGAGTTGACTACCGCTGTCAGTGCGTTGTCTCTAACTCCACCTCCGCCCACAGTCCTGAGACCTAAGAAGTATACGTAGCATGTCCCCTCCTCGGATCGCATTTGGGAGACGCCTACAATTTGCGCCTTCACAATCCCCCAGGGGGAATTGGAAAGACGACTCCCGTCCGACGACTAAAGATGTCATCAGGTACCTTGTGTCCGTCGGCGGGTACCCGCCTGAGTCAAACAGGTACCTGTTGGGAGGTACAGGTACAGGTACGGGTATCTGACTGGTAGAGCACCAGGTACCTCCTCATACCCGTCCTATTAAAAACACCAGATGCATGGATAATTCTACATGTATTTATACATATCTTGAATTGCACAAAGTACATATGGACACGTCACTTGGATCTGGACCCCTGATATCCTCAGCGCACTCACCTTCCCCCCAACCAGCCACCTCCTCACAACCCGTCCACAACCAATCAATCATCTCCTCCCTACCCCTCTGCCATGGGGAAGCAAAGAAAGAGCCACAAGGAAACCAAATCCCCTAGATCCTCTGGATCATCATCCAGTTTTTCTGGACAATCAAAAGAACTGTCTCAAAAGAAATGTAATCCAGGACCAGTCCTCATTGATGACAATTCCGAAGTCAAACCTAGTCCCAGTGTTGATGCTACAACACCTGGAAGCCTCTCAAAATTGTCCAAAGCTATCCTCACAGACAAACAGGAACTCAGTAAGCACCTCTCACATCGCTTGTAAACTGCAAGATTAATTGATTGCTAACAAACAATGACCTATTTACAGAAAAGGCATGACGGGTACATGCAAATCAGCAAAGCGCATGCTATGCATATTTCAATCCACCTATACTTTCTGATGTAAAGGACAAAAACAGCCGACCAAGGGTAAATCAATGAGAAAATGAATCAAAAGTAGTAGATATGTTATCCATTGCATAGTCTAATTGCAATGAATTTGTGCCACCAAAAAAACACAACACCCGCAGGTACCTGCATCAGGTACCCGGGTACCTGCTTTTTGAAACCTTGACAGGTGCGGGTAAGGGTACAGGTATCCAAAATGTGAGGTTTTTATGAGGAGGTACCTGTACCTGTTGCAGGTACCCTGGTATCAAGTGACATCTTTACCGACGACCCCTCGACCAAAATGGGAGTCGTCGTCGAATTTTTGGGAGTCGTTTTTCCAACCCCCTAAAAAAATTGGTCTCTTTTTTTAATCCTTTCTCCTGTGTCTATCTATTGGTCTCCAGGTACAAAGTCACCCACCGATAGGAGGGGCTTTTCGGGCAGATTCTTTTGATCACACTCTCAGTTTTGTGAGGTGACTTCGCTCTTGTCCACCTTAGCTTTTTCACTTTCATCTCTCAAAAGCGATTTTGAGGTTGAACCTGTATTCAATGCCACACATCAGGTATACAGGAGCCTTTCAATTAAATACTGTTTTGTATGCACATATTCAAGCTGGCCACATTGCCACAAGACCGACAAAATGCTGCATACAGTTTAAGAGCTTAGAAGAAGTGGGAAGCTGTTCTTAACCCATAAGAAATATTACAAGGATCAAGAAAGGCAGGCACTTGGATTGGCTCCCAACGTGTTAACTTGATTCCAATGTGAAGTGGTGGCAATCAAGGGGATGGTTGGACCATACATATTGTGAAGACTAGATGGAAATTGGGGCACAAATGAGCTGTGGAGGCGAGTTATAAAAAAGTCACCAGCCAAACTCTTAATCCTCTTGGGCCGCGGGGGCGACATAGCCCGTAAGTCCCTCCGGCAAGCCATCGGATCAACTGCCAGGAGGGACTTAGGCAGCAATTATAAACAAGCTTTTTGTTTTTTTTTTGAGAATTTTTTGAATTTTTTTTCGATTATTTTCATAACATTTTTTTTCTTATTTTGTTAACCAAAATCGATCTCAAAAACTTTTTCAAACAACCTCCAGGAGGTTGTTTGAAAAGGTAAAAATTTGAAATCGCCTTATGAGATTTTGTTACAGTCCTTATGGCATGCCATTACATCCCTTATGGGCTGTATCCTGCTGTACGACCGTACAATATACAAGCAGTACTCCAACCTCCGACTGGATACTGGATATTAGAGGCAGATAAGTGATAAACTGGCCGCGCGCGTTTGTAATTCCATGTTGTTTGAGTCTTTTTTGAGATGTTTTTGACTATCGTTTCATTTTAAAAACATAAAAAAACGAATTCAAAAACTTTTAAAAAAAATCTCAATGTTCTCCTATGGGATTTATTTTGTTTTCACTCTCATATTACAATAAATTTTACTTTTTCATCACTCAAAACTTCAGGACTTTGAAAATCCTCCCTGCACCCTGCCATTACCTGCTCTGCAAAAGAAACCGCCTCTGAAACCCTGGAAATTCTTTACAATTATATGTCAGCCCATGAGCGGAGGGAAGGGTTTGATTCGTCATCGCGGAATACCATCGAACAACTAAAGTATTATTTGAAGCCGGGATCGGATGCTGTCAGTTTTCAAAAAAGGTTTGACCCAATACATAAATCCTCATGTTCATCAGAAAAGGCTCCTGATTCTTCCCAAGCCAGAGTTCCTAATTGATGTCCGAGGGGGAGTCGGGACAGAACTCGGTATACGGGACCTTGCGACTGGAGAGCGGTCTCAAACCAACACTCATTGTAACAGGGACGGTGGACATGCACCGAGATTCACGGAGGCAGTGCCAACAAAAACCAACACAAAAAAGAAACGGCATTTCCGTCCGTTCCGAAACCGCTACCAAGATCTTCTCGGCTGCGAAGCACGTGTCCCCGGCCGACACGTCATGGGCTCCTCGCCTCCGCGGCTCTTCCTTCTCCTCCAAGTCACTTGCCAAATTTATCTCCCTCATATTACACACTGGCACAGGCTTCCTCAAGCGACACACACCGAATTTTGGTTTTTCATATAGTCCAAAAAGGGCCCCAAGACATAGCCTTCGTGGCTCAGCTGGTTAGAGCGCCGGTCTCATATCTGTTCCTCAGGTAACATATGATCGTCTACCACAGACGAGTCATCCGGAGATCGCCAGTTCGATCCTGGCCGAGGGCAATTCCTTTTGCCGTTTTGTCCGGCTGACATTGTCCGTGGCAGCTTTTTTTACGATTGAATCCATGGACGAAGTCTTTTGGCCATGTAGCGCACCCAGTCTTTGTGTGGAAGTGGAATTGTGACGGAATGATGAGTGATCCTGAACAGACGCCAATGAGTTCTGGAACAACAGATCGATAAGATAAACGTGTTGCGTTCCTCGTCAGGTCGCAACCAATTAATTAATTGCCTTTGAAGCGCAATCAGTGTATCCATTTTTTTTGAGCAAGATGTAACTTTGGTTTACGTGTTCGAAGGCATGACTAACAAAAGAATCTGAACTATTGATTCATTTACATAAGACCATCAGACATGTGTGCATAATAGCTTAACATGAATCGTGTTCTGCATGCTTGTACATAGTACGACTGACTTTTGGATTCATTTGATTTCGCTTTCGACCATCTCTATCATCATCAAACAAAACAGAGCATTACACAAAGTAGATATACAGAAAAGGATTAGTATCCAGACATCACAACGCTCAGTCTTTGTCTCTTATAGCCACCGTGAGCTTTGATAGAATGACATGAGATACACAAATGTACAATTCTTTTCAGAGTATCCACTCTTAAGCATCCGACGTTTCTTCGGGTTTCCTCATCACTGTCAAATAGTGGAGTGAAGATCAGAAGTTATATAGAGGCAGTAGTTCTGCAAGGTGGACGGAATGTCGACAAAGAGGACACTCGGGCTACAGTTCAAACAAACGCAAAAATAGATATATGAGTAACATGCAATCTCAAGATGTGTTTAGAAATCAGGTGATTTTGATTTCGGATAGAGCCGCGAAAACAGCTCTGATGAGGCAAAAGAGGACCCACTTTTTCTCTGATCCAACTGACAAGACATCTCCAACAAAACAAATGACCGCATTCGAGACTAGTTTGATCCTTCCTAGGACCCAAACATAAGGTACATCTGCGAGTCGTGACTTGATCTGACAGATCATCGATCAAGACGCCCTCTGGACACTCATCAACCAACTTTTGATGATCAAGTTTATCCTTCTCGTCAGATTCCTCATCCAAGCCTTCCTCCTCCTCCTCCTCGTCTTCTGGTTCAAGTATCATCTCATCAATCAACCGTCCATCGACCGTCAACACTCGATTTGACTGCTTTGGATCGCTCTCTTTCTTGTCAAGTATTGCCACCGGTTCGGATGCCAGTCGGAGCTGTTCTCGTCTCCGTCTGGCTTGTCGATGGGTTCCAACGACCTTGACGACTAGTTGAATCACCATCAAAACCCCTAAGATCTCGTACGACGGTGGCGACTCTCGACCAAGTCCATCTGCTCTCAATGGTCTCAGTCGATCCGAGATCTGCGATTGGAAACCAAAGGGAAAATCCCGTCAACACAACTGCTCACAAAAAAAAAAACCAGCTCGACTTGTCCGCGTTGATCAAACTCACATAAGTAATCCCACTAAAGCGCTTAGACCATGTGAAATATCTTCCGGTCAAATAGAATATGGAGAGGTGTAAGGCATTACAAGAATCGAGCGTGGATCGATCGAGAGTGCTCGGAAGATAAGCGAGCCATAAGCAGATTTTTCTCTTCAATGACCCTAGCCTCGATTCACGTTGTTGATGAGAGGCTTCTGAGGAGGGATGATCTTCGTTGTTGGTCGAGTCTCGATCATTCATTCTTGTGATGTGTTGGCGCAGACGCTCGTACAGTTTGCTCAACAACCTTGGTGAAAATACTTCAATTATGATCAAGATCGCTCTGCGCTTGTCATATTAATTGTAAACAGAAGAATGTCAATTTCTTGGAAAGTATAAGTCATGTAGATTGAGATGAGGACGATGATTGAAAAATAAATAAATAAACATGACTTACGTATAGGGCAGGAAGGGTATTGTTAAATGCATCAAATTGAATGATATCGCAATATTCCTCCCCTAGCGTTTGGGAGCCTGGATAAAATGAATGGGCTCGTGGTGATTGATAGAGAATTTATTTTTTCAAACCTCGAAACATGTTCACACAAGAAACAAAAACGGACCTGGTAGAGTGGTCAATGACAAGTAAATCAATTTGCTCGCGTCCTGTAACCTCGTGACATTATTATTAACCCATCGAGAACCTAGTATAAGGAACAAAGTGAATGTCAAAAAAAAAGAAAGCCTAGTAACAAGAGTAAACAAACAACAGTGATTTCTTAATATCTGTACCTTTGGCAGCCCTCAGTAAGGGTTCGATTTGGTCGAACAAAGCGTTGATGAAGTAAGCATCTTTTTGATCGGCTCTGACTAAAACATCCATATATATACAACAAACAGACCAGTCATTAAACTATTCCGAAAAAGACAAGCAGAGGAGGTAGACTGATGGATGACTCAACTGATTTCGGGCTGGGCGGCCGATGGAAACCGTAAATTCTTCGACCAAATCCTCAAGAGTTTTGAGTTTTCCTCGGCTGAAAGTGGGACATTAGGGGATCCGGTGGATTGGTGAGTTGATGATGAGCTCGATTGAACAGGTTCGATCGATGATGATGATGATGGGGGTGGTGGTGGTGGTTCTTGGTTGGTCATGGTGATGGTCTTCTTTGGGCTTGACTCTGGCTGTGTCGCATGAGGTCGCATGTAGTGGTAAACTACTCCTGGGGGGCTTGTGACTGTGGTGTGGCCCCCCTCCCCCCATTTTGCATACCGGTGTATTCAATATGCCCTTTTTTTCTTGACGTCCTCCCGCCAGTGCCACTGACCACTGTGCTTCCACCAAACCTTCAAGGCTTCAGTCAAGTCGGTCCAGCAAATCTACGGACACAAATCTTTACAAATCTTCTATCATCTCCTTGGAAAGAACAAGCAATGGTCAGTAAAAAGGGTCTTCCAGTCAAGAGCTCTCAACACGGTTCAACTAAAACTCATGTCATTTTCGGATTCTCACAACAGGCCCTCGCAACGATCGCGACTTCGACTGAAGTCAGAGATATAGTCAAGCTAGAACGGATCGGTTAGGACTTTTCATATCCTCAAAGAATACCAATCAAAATAGTAACATCATATTCCTCGGGGGTTGTTTTTTTGGTAGGTGCACATTCTCACATTCGCGGATTGGGATTGGATGATCGATTGGAGCCGAAGCCTAATGCTCAAGGAATGGTCGGGCAAATCAAGGCGCGCAAAGCCGCTGGCGTGATTCTGAAGATGGTCCAACAAGGACGGATCGCAGGTCGCGCAATCCTCATGGCCGGTCCACCTAGCTCTGGAAAGACCGCAATTGCCATGGGTCAGACATTTTCTTTTTTTTTTTTTTTTCAAAATATATCATACTTTCTTACCATTTCCGAATGATTGTCATTTTTTGAAGGTATGGCGCAGTCTCTTGGATCCGATGTGCCCTTCACGACCCTCTCGGCAACCGAAATCTTTTCACTGGAGATGTCTAAAACAGAGGCTCTCACACAAGCCTTTCGACGGTCGATCGGAGTTCGAATAAGAGAGGAGAGCGAAGTGATTCAAGGGGAGGTAGTCGAAATCCAAATCGATCGGAGCTTAACCGGTGTAAGTCTTCACACATCACCCCTCTATACTTTCCCTTTCTTGGGAGAGAGCCCTCGTCCACGATCTGACCGACTTAGTTACATTGATTTGATTCTAGGCAACCAAAACCGGCAAGTTGACGATGAAGACTAGCGATATGGAAACGATTTATGAACTCGGAAATAAGATGATTGAAGGTCTCAACAAGGAGAAAGTGATTGCGGGGGATGTGATCTTGATCGATAAATCTACTGGAAAGATCACTAAATTGGGCAAGAGCTTCACCCGGGCAAGAGACTATGACGCGATGGGAGCTGATGTAGATCAATTCCCTCCAATCTGAACGATCAAAAGGCACGACGGAATATGACACACTGACCTACCCCATCGATTTAATTTTTTTTCTCAGACAAAATTTGTACAATGTCCAGAGGGGGAACTTCAAACCAAGAAACAAGTGGTCCATACAGTCTCCCTACACGAAATCGATGTCATCAACTCACGTACACAGGGATTCTTAGCCCTGTTCAGTGGAGAGACCGGCGAGATCAAGTCGGAGCTTCGAGATCAGATCAATTCGAAAGTAGCAGATTGGCGAGAAGAGGGCAAGGCGGAGATCGTTCCTGGGGTACTGTTTATTGATGAAGTAAGGTTCTTGTTTTATTTTATTCATCATCATTATCGCGTGGATCGAGTGGAGGGGAAGGGATACTGAGACTATGATGGGTCTTAAGGTTCACATGCTCGACATCGAATGCTTTTCGTTCTTGAACAGGGCCTTGGAGACAGAACTGGCGCCGATCGTCATCATGGCCTCCAATCGAGGCTGGGCTAGGATCAGGGGTACCCGGTACAAAAGTCCACATGGGGTCCCAATGGACTTATTAGATCGAGCACTGATCATCAGTACTAGTGCTTACTCGGCTGAGGAGGTTCGGACGATATTATCGATCCGGTCAGCTCCTTCTTCCCTCTATGTACTGCTCTCAAAAGGGTATTTACTCAATTGTTGATGCTCACCTCTGGATTTCGAACGCGGTCTGTTTTTTCAGATGCGAGGAGGAAGACGCAATCTTGACGCCAAAGGCATTGGAAATTCTTACGCGGATAGCATCAGAAAGCTCACTAAGGTATGAGCCTCTTTCCCACATTATTTATAAACAAGATGAATAAGTTGATATTGGATATTGACGCGTTATTTGTTTAAAAATATGTGAAAAAGATATGGGATCCAATTGATCACGACATCATCGATGGTAGCCAAACGAAGGAAGTCGAAAGAGGTAGACGTGGCCGACATCAAGAAGTGTTACAGCTTATTTCTGGATGAGAAGCGAAGTGTATCATATCTGAAGGACAACAAGGATGGCGAGTTTATCGGCGAAGACGGCAACGTTGGGGTCTACGATAGTGCTCTTTCTGGGCTCTCTGCTCCTTCTGCCGTCCCTTCCAATCAGCCTCAGCAGCCGCCTGTCGATCAATCTCATACTGAAAAATCTATCCCTGGAATCGGTCTGTCTGGTGAAGTTCAAATGGATACCACTTAACTTTCATCATAAAAAATGGCCATCGTTTCCTTCTTCTATTTTTCTCCCAAACCCGACCGTCATCATCAACTTGATCTTTAATCGACCTCTCTGCTCAGATGTACACAACTCCTTAATCCTTTTCTTCATCAGGCCCAATTATGTCTCTTACTTAAACTCTCTTCTTTTGGCCCGCTTTTTCTCTTCTTCTTGTGAATTATATGTAGGCGAGGTTGTATGTTTCTTGGAACTGAAAGAAAGAAAGAAAGAGAACCCATACCTCTGGTGAGTTCAAGAGCAAAACAAGAAAATGTTCTTAATTTTCAAGGGATCAGAACTCAGTAGATTATGGACTGGATAAGATGCGGCAGAAAACCCTGGTAACCTGGATACGTACACGGTTCATTTGATGATCATTTCTGGTGTGATGCTGAGTGACATGTGCATGTTCCCAAATACTTAAACTCAAACTTTTATGGAATAAATCATTTCTTTTGAAACATTGGAAAACATATCAAGAAAACACCATTCAGAATTTGGTGTATATTTTGAAACAAAAGCCAATAAAAAGAAGGGAGCCTTGGGTAGGAAACCCCGGGGGAATTTTTTTTTCTTCGAAAGAGGGGGTTTGTGAGTCATTTTGACAATGCTTCTTGATTCTGAGGATATTTGAGACGAGAAATTAAGGAGTTTGAGAACGATGGATGATGGGTTTGGTACCAAGTAGCCAAAACGTATAAAGAAAGATCCTCAACGCTTTGATTAGTCAAACAATCAAGTGCAAAGTAATCAAGGATTTTCAACTGAAGTTCTCCAAAGGAGCTTATGCGATCATAGGCGGCATTGAACCAGGGCGGGATCCCATCAGGTGCTTCAACTGAGCCTATTAGAGGAAGACTATCTTCTGGCTGGATGATTGATTTGACGAGAAACTCGATCACGGGTTCTCTGCTACAGACCCCTCCACTCCCATCGAGTTGAAGTTTTTTCAGGGCTTCGCTATGTAATCTATCCAACGAACGCAAGAGGATCCCAAACCTAGGCCGAAGATCTCTCAATTCGATCAGCGTTCCGTCGCGAGAATTGACGATGGTTAGAGGACACAGCAGGGATGGGCTTTCTTTGGAAGAACAGAGCGAGATCGGATGGTGGGGATAATAGCTTCGCAGCGCTTTCCGGTGGTGCTCCATCGTGTAATACTGTTGCTCGATCTGGGATGTGAATGGCCAGAAAAAGCCGTGGTCTTGTCGGGCTATTCGTGATCTTCGGTCCTGGATTATCCCTTCGGACATCCAATCTAGCTTCAATTCTTCGGCAAGGATTCTTAGCGAATCTTGGATTTCTTCCAAGTGTACTTTCATCATCAATCCATTGGGACCTCCGACCGTCAGCTTGAACGGTCGACTCAATCCTAAATATTCGTCTGTTTGCGTCATTAACATTCAGTTTTTTTTTTAGGTCAAGTTGCAAATCCGCGAGCATTAGGACCTAGTCAGTTTTTTTTTGGACAGACGATGTTCTGCTTTTGTACTACTTACTTGCATGATGAACTCGGTAGATTCCTAAGAGATGTGATGTAGAGAAGCTCGGATCGGCGCGCTGCTCTGAGAAATACTTGATCAACTCTTCTTGAACGATGCCTATTTTCATCATGGGCAGATTAGCCTTCCACGACAATTCAGGTCGAGGAGCCGGTCCAAGAATGGGATGGCCGTGGTTGGCGGGCTCATAGATTTCCTTTTCGAGCCACAGGAAGAATTTTTCTTGCTGGTCTTTATGGTTCAAGATGGGAATATTAAGGAGTGACAAGAATCGAGCATGGAGCTGGAAGAGCGAGACAGCCAAGCGATTGTAGAGCGTATATAGCCGCCAGCTGCGTTGTTTGTGAGCACGTTTATGGTGCAGGATTTTGGCTAGCTTGTGATCGGGCTGGCCCAGCCGACTGATCCGGGCTACTGGTAGGGTTGGATGTTTGTCGGATGAGGTCCATCGGGCGAAGTTGCCATCATCGGCACTGTTCCTAGCCTGGAAACGCTCGCTGAATCCGTGGAGAACTTCTTCAATTATTTGGCCGTGTGCTAAGAGATGACTATAGTCCATGTCATCCCAGAGCTTCTGCTCGAGCTCGGGCAAATCCGGCAGGTGGCGCTCCGATTGATCACCCTCTGGACTCCCTTGAGAATGACCCTGGCTGGCGGCGAGCCTGGGATTATTAATAAAATCTAAAAGCAAAATTCCCGATCATTTCAGTCAGTCTATTCCCATTCTGCAAGTCAAACATACAGAGACTCCTAGCCCAACAGATCGAACGGCGCCTCACCTGAGCTTGAACGGCCCTCGTCTGGAGGCAGCAAGAGACGAGCACGGCGAGAAGAAGGGCTGGGACTCGAGTGTTGCACTTCTTGGTCAGCTTTCCGTTTGCTGCCGCCGGGAAAGACTTCCGAAGTCATGCCGGACAGCGGCGGCGTGGCCGAATCTGTCGATGAAGAGACCAGGTCGACATAGCTTTCCTCCGGCGGCTCGTTCAAGTCAAACCCTAGTCCTGTCGCCATAACTTCCATGATCAAGTACGGACATACTAGTACGATAAGCAAGCCGAAGGTCCGACGACCAAGACCGATTGTTGTACCCATTCGGATACTATTTCACTGAGCCGAAGGTTTTTTTTGCTGAAGTTCTCGGCATCAGACACCCTGAGTGGGATCAAGTTCTGGCTTGTTGGTCTTGAGAAAACAGTGGCAATCACCCTGTATCATCGTTTTCCTCAATTACAATTACACATGGCTGGACATGTGCAAGACCAGGTTCAACAGGTTGGTGATTGATATCCCGGTGCGTGGCAACTTTAATCATAGGCTAAAATTTCATTCAGAATGAAGGAGATTTAAACATGTTGCACGGATCATCTGAACATAAATCCTTCTGACCGGTTCTTCCGCAACACGTCACAAATCTTTACATGAAAGTTTCAAAAACTGATGGAAAACAGGCCCACAGGGAGGTGTGAGCTACAGTGCCCCGCACGACTTCTCAAATGCCCGGCACCTGCAAAATAAAAGCTCAACTTTGGATGGCTTCTTCACAAACAAAAATCACCCCACAAAAATGTTGAAGTGTTGACAGAGTTCCGGTGCAGCTTCATTCGATCCATTTTTGAAGCGCTTTGGATCTGTTGTTCCCCTCGTAAAAAGGAAACACTTTATATTTGAGAGTCGGCACTCTCAGATAGACATCTAGTCCTTCTTGATCATGTCAAGTATGATCGGGACGTTTTGTGTCGAGGTGACAAGCAAGATGTTATAGACGGCTTCATACATCGAAAACGATAATCTAAGTAAAGGAAAAGACGAAAACAAAAACAAAAAAAAACAGGATGTGTTTTATTCAATTGATAAGGAGTGATCTTCAAAAACCCAAAAAAAAGGTTCGAGGAATTCAGAAAGAAAGCAAAAGCTGACAATTAGGCAGGAGAGCGGGGGAAGTTAGACGATTCGGAGAGAACGGATGGTATGAAGCTTATGTTGCTCGACGTCATCCTGTGCCAATTTAGGCACACAATCGATAACATAAAGGATCTATAAGTACAAGGATGAAGAATCAATGAACCCAAGGACCAGAAGAGGCGATCTCGGAAAGAAAAGAAAGGTTCGAAAAAGAGGATTGATGAGAGGGACAGACCTGGTACTGTTTCTTCTTGCTAAGCTCTTTGAGTGTCAGACGATGGGCGCCAAGCAGTTTCGGATGTGCATGCAAGTCGAGCACGGTCGGCTTGGCTTTGGTTGCACGTTTAGTAGGCATGGTCAGGGGTGTCTTCGAAGAGGACTTGTTCGGTATGAAGGTCTTTGATGAACTTGGTGGCCGGTCTAGGATCTCGATCTCATCCGAGTCTTCCAAATCCTCGGTGTTCGACATTTGCTCCGAGATCTTCTTCAACGGACTCGCCACTTTCCTTTTTTTAAGAAAAAAAAAAAAAAAAAGCATAAGTGTCATAAATGATGTGTGTTTGAGGCGAGAGATTGCTGGGATTTTTGTACTTGGCGGGGTCGAGGATCAGGAGTTGCGGTTGTTGCTTCGCGTCCGTCTCGATGCCTATGATCGTTCGGCTGTGTCCGTCGTGTTGGAAGTATAACGGGAACCGACTCGTTATCTCGACCGCTGATGATGATTGGTCCTGTTGCTCAGTATGCATTTATAGATCCCAATACGCTCTATCAGTCTCGTTTTTCCTTTCTTATCCATCTTCACATTTTCCATATAAATAAAAAAAGGAGAAAAACACGGACGTTGTCAGTTAGGGTTGATGCAGATTTGAAGTAATCTAAGTAGCATGTATATATGTTTTTACAAATTAGTTATTTGATGAATTAAAAATATAGTACTGATAATCATAGAAGAGGCGTTCATTTTTCAAATTTTTTTTTGAAGGAGGATACTGACTTTCGACCCATTGTATCAATTTAGTATGTTGGCCGTTAGGACCAGACGGGCCAGGGAAGTCTACGATTTGGCATCTGATGTGTAGGAAAGGGAGTAAGATGAGCAAGAAGAAATAAAATGATTTGGGGAGGAGGAGGAGGAGGATGGAACCTTAGACCCAATCTGCAGAGCGCAACATAAACCTCAGTTGTCCCGATCCACTGTTTTTTGCCGACCAAGCGAGCGTTGAAATGGGCAGCCCCGTCGGGGTCGAACCCGGCTTTCCAAGCATCCTCGATGATCTGTTGCCACAGCGTAATACTAGGGATCCCCGTCGTCTGCGGTGTGGTGGTACAAGAGATGAGTAAAGGGTGGGAGAGGAGAGTCTGGCGGTAGGCTTGTCGAGCGATGATTGTCGAGAAGAGCATCTGCAAGTTGCGGTATCCGCATCCCCACGCCCAATCCCCCGCGCCCAGCTTGGACTTCTCCGAGCTCGTGCCGATGTGCAAGACCTTGGGGTCGCATAAACTCGCCGAACCGGTCTGCTGGTCGGCGTGTGATTGGAGCAGGAGGCGGGCTAGCAGACTGGGCAGATGGCCGGTCCCGCTCGGTGAAGCCGTCTGGTAATTCCCTGACATCGATGGTGTTTTATTTCTTTCGTTCAGGTTCCTGTCTTGGTTTGTGTATGTTTTGATCGGGATTCTCGATTGGTGTGGGTTGGTGGTGTGCTTGATGTGGTTGTTGATGAGAAATTCCTCTAGTGGAGGGGGACTTCCTCCCCGCACACACCACCAACTGCCGACACACCACACCATCCTTCTGCTACCAACCACCCCATCCTCACAGAAAAAAAAAACATTTCCGATGGGTAATAATGGCACAGGCAATAACCTCCGGATCATCAAACTGAATCTGAAGGCAGAGATCAGACACCTTGCCGGCAAGCACATACACACTGAACATTTGAGTCTGGAGGATGCCATTCTCACTCATCTCCAGAGATGGATGGCTTGTTTACTCTCAGAGTGTTCGGTGGATCGCGACTTGCTGCTTGGCTCTTGAACTAGTGGTTATCCAGAAATCTTGATGAAGGAGGACTTGTCCCTTTGACCAACGAACCCCTCGATGAGCACATCATCCAGACACTCCCGCCAAGCACTATCAACCACGCCTCCATCCCCATGCTGCCCTAGGCAACCGGCAGTCAGCAAAAAAGAAACCACAGAAGGCACAATTTGACGCAGAAGGCAGAAATCTCAGTGCGCCGTATGTACACCCGGTCTCCAGAATATCCATCAGGGTTCATCAGCTCGGCTTGGAAGCGGAAACTTGAGATCCTGTCTTGGAGTGGTCCCGTTGGACGGCATGGCAGGGCCCGGGGTCCACCCCCCTCATGAGACAGTCGAATCAAGTCTTCCCAGCAGACAACTTTTTTCCCTCAAAAGGCTTAATGATTGAGAATGCCCAAGACTTTCGAAGCACCTCATTCCTGTCCATATTATATCCTCTCGAACAACCAAGACAATCTGTAGATAAACAAAATAACTCAACGAATTATAAATACCTGAATTAGCTCAAAGAAATATAGCCTTTTTAACCGCCCATACCCAACCGCGCTTCCCTCTTCTCTCGATTCCCCAATCTTCAAGACTCATATAAGGATGAAATTGACCATCAATACTCTCTCGAGCTCAATCTTTTCTTGCACTGTCCATCAGCAGAGCACTCGCAAACGATCCCGTCTTCAGAAAAGGCTCTAAGATGTTCCCTGTCTACTGCCGAGAGATTGACACTCATCCCGTTCCATATGGTGTACAGCTTCTCACCGGAAGTGAGTGAATATGTCTTCTTCTACTACACCTGATTTAGATACGTGTATCCAAGATTCCCCCAAAACATGCACTTGATGCTTACTTACTAACACCGCCCTGCTCGTAAGAATCGTACTACCCGAGTTATAGCCCAATCCCATCAGAAAATCCAGTTCCAGGAGTCTTCACCATCAACGAAGATTACCTTGCGGTTTGTTGTATCCGAAGGGCACCGGTGAGTCAATATAAACCCAGATATACACTTCCGCCTTGAAGCACTCCCTGCTCTCACAACCTACAATCGCTCATCTCCGCCCGTTTCTGATCATCGCTCTACTCTAGCCCCGTCAACTGATGGATCTTAAGACGTGTAACGCCGCAAACCGTATACCCGGGGCTTGATCGATTCCCGAATCCTTGATTTCTTGGCCGCCGCTCGGTTTGTTAAGAAAGATTATGCCGCTTGCGGAGGAAAAAAGAACTGGGGTTTTTTTAACTTTATTTTGGAATTCTGCATGTACATATCATGATGATAATGTATCAATGCACAAGATTCCACTCATAAATTATAAGTGTCTCCTAGCCGTTCTGGAGAAACCACTGGGTCGGATTTGAACCTCAACAAGTAACACTTGTCTTATTGTCAAGACTCAACTAATCCGCAAGTATTCACAGAGAGAAAACATCTCTAGTGTCAGCGGGACTCTCTTCTGTGAGAACCGTTGATAGGAAGTATACTGACAGTAATGCTTCAGTAGGATTAAAACTTCTCTGAACAGCCGACAAAGATTAGGAAAGAATAGCTTGGCAAGCTCGAGTCTAGCAGACTGCTTTGGAGGGAATGCAGACAAAGACAATGCATTGAGTTTTCTAAGCCAATGTCCAAATCAGACACTTTACAAAACCTTTGAAGACTTGTGGAAAAATTTTCAAGCCAATTGAGACTTCTTGATCTGTCCATAAACACTCAACCAGCTAGATTACCAAGTAATCTGTTTTTGAGTTTGGAGGAGTTGACAGCCTACACCACGGGGCCAGTTTTTTGAAACTGGCCCTGTCCGCTGGACGCTTTCCTGAGCAGAGCATCCAATGGATGTGATCATAGCTTCCAATAGACGCTCTGGCAAGCAAGCACCCAAGTGATGCTGACCAAAGAGAAAGTGTCCAACAATGGTGGGCTGCTACGCTACACTACACTAAACGGCCCACTAATGTTAGCATAGCGGCCCTCAAAACAGCGCGCCAAACCTGTAGTGTTAGCACCACTACGCTACATTACATTGTGCTATACAGCACTTAAGCCACTAAAATGTGCTGTAGCAAAGCGTAGTGGGCCCTTTTTGATTGTTGATAAATAATACCATTCTGAATCAGATCAGAAACAGAGATGATTGTCAGATCAAGTGAGCAGGATTAATACTTGGGGTTCTGATCAAACTTGAAACATGTTGGAATTTCCTCTCTGTTCCCTTCCTTTCTTCTATTTTTCTTACTTCTGCCTCAATCTCAATCTTAGTGATCACTTGGATCTACTCCTTCACTGTTATGAGATCTCCCCCATTATAGTCTGTCTCATCATTTTGTTATGAAATCTGACCCCCTGACTTGTAGTCATAGAACCCTGATCAAGGAGGGCTTATTTTCTCTCAGTAATGTTTTCTTATCTTCTTGGTTGGAGATACTCCATTCCTGGTGTTTGTTGTTGTACCCTCTTGTTCTCTCTTGATTGTTCTTTTTATTTCTATTCATTTTCTTTTTTATTCATCTGGTTCACAACCACAACTTAAACTCTTGTACCTAGTCTATTTTAAGCTAGCCTAGTACAAGAAATCAAAAACCATTGGTTCTCCTCATAACCTGATTCTGACCACTTTTTGCCCTTCAAAAAGTGACACCTGAGTCTGTTCAAATCTTCTCTTCCTCACACTGCTCAGAATTCTCTCCAAACATACCCACATACAACACATACACTGTTCTTCTGCAGGGGCAGGCCAGGGTGTACGGATCTACAACAGGCTTTGTTGCGCAGGTATGCAGATTAGTGCATGATCAAAAAAAAGCTATGTAGTTGTGTATGTTGGGAGTATGTACCCAACACAACATATGTGGGCTTGATTTCAATGTTGAGAACCCTAACTCATCACATGGAGTGACTGTGAAAAAACAAGGCTCTTCACTACATAAAAACCCTCTACTAAGTTTCAGCCTGTTAATATACTGCCTAGGGAATATAGCATCCCATCTAGAGATGGTCGAAGGGTATCCGTCGCGGATACCCGCCAGCGGGTGCGGATGGCCCCTTTTCCGCAAATCGCCGGCGGGTATCCGGGTATCCCAAAGGATACCCGCGGCCGGGAGGGGAGATGGCCGTCTGGA